GATTTCACACCCATACATAGTAAGAAGATCGTACTAGGGAGGAATCATAGCACAACCTTTTCCCACATGTGGTATGAAGGAGTAGAGCTCCTTGGGGCTATCTAGGCTTCAGTCCCTTTGCTCAGAGAATCATGGGGGGGGGCAGGGGTTGTTGAGAAAGTCCCAAGCGGGGGCTCATTTGCCACCTGTTACTGCTGATTTGCAGAGAAAGGTTTCTTTTGATAGTCTGCTTTCTTAAACAGAGCCCTAGAAGGAATCATTTGGGCCACATGACATTTTAGCCACCCTTCCTATCCACGTCAGCCCTACCAGTGTGGCTTACATTTGATTAAATGTTCCTAAGAATGTGATGTTAGAACTGAATATCTCCCTAAAGTGGTGTTGCCGAAAAACAGGCTATGTTCCGGCTGTTTTGAGTGAACAGCAGAATTTGAGTCATTTTGCCCTAAAGTGGTGTTGCCGAAAAACAGGCTGTGTTCCGGCTGTTTCGAGTGAACAGCAGAATGTGAGTCATTTTGCCTGGAAGTTGCAGCACAGTGAGGTCTGAATCCACCCCCACCTAAAGTGGTGTTGCCGAAAAACAGGCTGTGTTCCGGCTGTTTCGAGTGAACAGCAGAATGTGAGTCATTTTGCCTGGAAGTTGCAGCACAGTGAGGTCTGAATCCACCCCCATATTATCAGTTGTGGTTTTTAGCGATATGATGAGAATGGTACGAGCAGTGACCCCCCCAAGGTTGCTTTGGACATGTCTTGGTGTTAGGTTGCTCAAAGTTCATTAAGCCTTATTCAAAGCGCATTAAAACGAGTATGTGCTCAGTGTCATATCTTGACTGGTGACCGGCTGCCCACAGCTGGCGATATGGAACCGAGGTGGGGGACGGAGCAACCATTTCCAGCTCTTCCCTGGAGCCAATTTCACATGTCACGGGACACAGTTCTTGCTGCAGCCTGAAAAATAAAGCACAGTTGTCATTAGTCATGCCTGCAGAACTCTGTAAGTGTTGAAAATGCACTCCCTCCCCCCCGCGTCTTCTCTGCAGCTACTTCAGTGAGGTAGGCCAGGCCCCGTAGAGAATTACCTGCATAGAGTATTTGTTTATTTCTTATACAGGTACTTATAACAAATACATATTTGTTGAGCTCTCCTCCTCTCTCAATTTAACTTCACTATAGCCTTGAAAGGTTGAAAGAGTTTGGCCACTCCCAAGGTCACATCCGTTGTGTTTCAATGGCCAAGTGGGGACTAGAATTTAGGTCTCCCTCATCCTGATTCAGTGTTCCAGTCACTATGACACATGGCACAAAGCTCTGAAAAGGGGCTTATAAGTTCCTTTTGCATATATGTTCACAAAGCTTCTGCGGTAAATCAGGTTTCTTGACTGTGACGTCTTCCCAAGTGCACTCAGTTAAACACACTTGTATGTACTGTACCTTTTCTCATTTTTATGTAAGATCTGCAGAGATCTGCAGTGTAACCAGAGATGCCTCTGACCATGCTTTTCTGGGGGAGTCTGGGATTTGTATCCAAAAAAGGGACTGCTCTATGAAGCTCTGGCAACCAGAAACCCTCAATAAAGTGTGCTGTTTATATACCACCTCATAGTGCTTAAGGCATTCTCTGGGCATTTAATTATGGAGAATACATTTGCCACTGCCCCTCCCAGCAAGCTGGGTACTCCATTTACCAACTTGGGAAGGATGGAAGGCTGAGTGAACCTTGAGCTGACTGTGTGGGATTGAACTCAGGTTGTGAACAGAGTTTTGGCTGCAGTACTGCAGTTTAACCACTGCTCATCATGTACACACCCCATCCTCTTTCAGCACCTGCATAGCGGTGGAGTTCAGTGATCTCAGTTTCATGACAGTAGTGATTCCATTCAGGTATTTAGTCTGAACTTTACAGGAGTTCTCCAAGGCACAGAACTTATTTTGGGGAATGGGTTTTTGATCTGGGAATACTGATTGCTTGTGTGGGCTTTCTCTATGCAGAAACCAGTACTTAACACAAGGGTGCAAGGGAAATGGCAAGGAACTGTGTAATTTCAGAGAGTGGTGACCCAGTTGCCCTTTCAAAGCATGGAGAACCTTCACCATTCCTGACTCGTGAGGAGGCTGCTATGTTTCTTAACTAAAATGAAAGCATACTGCTGCAGTGGTAGCTACTGTGCTGTGGTGGATATTGGCTTAAATCAAATGTTCATGGTAGGATCAAACTAGACTAGGGTGCATACACATGGCCCTCTCACCACCAGTGGGTCATATCAACCAGCTGTCATTCCCAACAGTGTGTCAATGAGTGTATGAAGTGTTTCTGTGCATGTACCATCATATACACGTGCAATGTTTTGACAGGGAGGAAAATCCTGGCCCACTCAGAATTCCTTCACATGAAGAGATATTCTTCACACAAAGGCCAGCAAGGTATATTTTTGCTCCACTTAGTCCCTAAATATGTAGCTGTGGGGCTCAGAATTGGGGGTTGGGGCAAGCTTGTGCAACCTCTTCCACCCCCCCATTTGCTTTTAATACCTGAGGGGGGTTATTTGAATACCTGTGAGATGAGAAAATGAATTCTGTTGCCTATGGTTGTTATAGGTTTTCTGGGCTGTTTGGCTGTGTTCTTAAGGTTTTTCTTCCTAACGTTTCACTAGTCTCTGTGGCTGGCATCTTCAGAGGACAGGGGTCAGAACAGAGAGCACAGAAATAGTTCTGACTCCTGTCCTCTGAAGATGCCAACCACAGAGACTGGCAAAGTGTTAGGAAGAAAAACCTTAAAAACATGTCCAAACAGCCCAGAAAACCTACAACAACCATTGGATCCTGGCCATGAAAGCCTTCGAGAATACATCTGTGGCCTATTCTGAAATTTCTCTGGTAATCAGATGAGGGCATTGGATCAATCCAGTCGCTAATCCCAACCAGAGCAGGTTCAATGGGATTTGCATAGGTGGCTATGCACCACACACCATCCAGCAGATGTTTCATTCAGTTTGGTACTAGCTTTTGAATTTAGGCCATAAAATCTTCCTATTTCCAGATAATCAATAGTGCTAATTGTCATGATATAAAAATCACAAAATGACTGTAGGAATTTCTCTATTATCTTTGTGTGTGTGTGTGTGTGTGTGTGTGTGTGTGAGAGAGAGAGAGAGAGAATGGCCTAAGGTTTCTCACAATGCCAGAATTTCACAATAATCTCTTGCTAGAATTACTTTCTGTTCTTTGCCTTGATTATGTTATTTTCCTGTCACTCCTTTTTCAAGATTACCCGCCAAGCAAGCATAGTTGACTTCTTTTCCAGGAATTTTCCATACTTCAGTATTGAGGTAGCTAGGAAAATGATCTCCAGAAAGCCGGTCTTTTCACTGTAAATTTCACTTGGGCAAAGAGAAACAAAGCACAGCCAGCACTTCCA